TTAAATACACCATTTCGATTTTCGATACCTCACTACTATAAAGGCTTGATTTAGTTTGATATTTCATTGGTGGTAGTGTCTAGGGTCGCTGATGAGGAGTGGAATTTTCTGAAACTAGTTTGGCTCACAGGCACACACACCCCACTGAAAGAATTGACCATTCCAAGCTTTTACATGTTGTTAAACAAATGTTTAAACAACTCTATTCAACTAATATTTAAATCACACTTACACCAATATAACTACTTATCACCATACTTCGCCAGCTTCTAAAAGGCGCTCACACCATAACAATTGTTGTTGTACTAAATTGCTTATATAAATAGTATTCTGACCATTACAGTGTTCGTTGTATCCCAGTCGATCTGAAGAGCTCTGGATTGAACGAAATGAAACATGTTGACGGCAGTGGATATGACAAGTATATTGTGGCTGAATTACTATTATTATACACTCTTTTAATTCTTGAAAATCCATAAGTAACTAGATTAAGAATGTAATATTAAAAATATAATGGGCATAATATAATGTCTTTCGACAAATATAACTAATTTATAGAATATACGAATATAATGAATGCACTCAGTTGTTTTGATAATAATGCGCATAATAACTCCATATGTTAAACTGCCTTTAACTATAGTTTTGTTAAACGACAGTAACTCAACAGCTTCCAGCAGCAATGGTCATCGTGACTTAGAAATATGCGGTTTTTATGTTCGCTAAAATTCATTTAAAAATAATTATATACCTTGTATTTATTTCACGAAAATTATTGCTAGCATATATTAAATACTTTTGTTATGATTTTTTTAAACACATTTTAACAGGAAGTTACTGTCCGATGTCTTTTCAACATCTGGGTAAATAAAGTGAGTAGTTTGACAGGAAGGCCATGTGGACTCGCTTTCATGCAACGACCTTTATTATCTTCAAGTCACATACCTAGCCATAAAACCGAATTATGCTTAAACTCGCGCATATGCTGCAAAAAATACTTAGCTTGTGAAACTTAGTTTTCATAAAAGTACGTCTTTCAACAGTTAATGGGCATTACATAATTTGGAAAAAAAAGAGGTGAAGATCGACTAACGCTCATGATAGAATCAAAATAATTCTGATATTTTTACATTTTGTAGGTAATACGAGCAGATTAAGTAAAAACTTTAATCCACAATGGAAACAATATTTATAATTATATACAGTTTTTATATAACAAATATACATTTATCTACAAATGTATGCTTGTGGTTTAACGTAAGCAGCAATAGTCCTCTATAGATGCATATGCATTTTAGACAAGCACCAAATAAAAATGTTTTTGAAGAAAATGTTTAAAACGTGAAAAAAAATAGGTGAATTGGATATACTCCGTATAATTATTCTATAAGGGTCGTGGCAAGGAACAACGGTTAACGTGCAGAGATGAGGATTGGAAGATCTAAGGTTTGAGTCGAAACACACGTCTGAGCACGCCTCGCACTTTCAGTTGTGATAGCATTTTAACAGTGACAGTTAACCACCTATCCCGTTAATATTAGCCATATATAAGGCGACTAGTGCTGCTGAGTATTCGCCTTCCCATTCATTAGCAGCTCTTAATTAGGAATGTCTGAATGTTAGGTGTCTCTAATATATAGTCATTTAGCTCATGTGTCGTATAAGGTGGCGTACAGGTTGAAAGTACTAAATACCTAATTTACTGTTAGGAGTCTCTAATATAGTTATTTAGCTCATGTGTCGTATAAGGTACCGTTGCGGTTGAAAGTATTAAATATCTAATTCACTGTTACTAAGTATAAGTGTTTTGTCCATAAAAAATAACTTTGTTTTAATTTTATTTTCTTCAAGCATTTTTTCATGTATCTTGGATTTATGAGTTTTTACTTTAAAAAGTTCAGAGTTCGCATTTGTGTGATGCTAGATTCCTCAGCTGTTGGCTTTGTCATGATCCGGGAAAAGGATTTTTTCATTTCGTTTGCGTGAACATTTAACTTTAAAAACAAAAAATAACGAAAGTGAATAGAGAAAGCTAAGAAGGAATAGAACATGCTTTTTCTCATACTGGACAGAATAATTTCGAGACAAAATAACCAGTAGTTTTATTAAAGGGATAATTTGTAGAAAGGATAGAGTTTAATTTTTTGGACTTTATCTGCCCCTAGCATCGCAAACATTTGATTTTCATCATAGTAAAACCACTATTTATAATATTAGAATAATGTCTAATTACATTTGAATAACTATAATACCTGAGGCTAATGACAGTTAACGTTAAATCTGTTGTAAACTGTTTCAGAATGTCGGGCCTTGCTCTTTCTTTCGTGTTTATAACACAGATTACGACTACGATCAGTTCAAACATTTTCGAGAAGTAACTATTATTATTATTGAAAATGTTCACTTAAATGTTCATTAGATATGTACAGTCACCAAATAGTTCACACACCTTCGGTTTGTTTTCATTCAAAATATATAACAAATAATTCTATACATAGCATCCTGAGCTTCGAGAGTAATTTAAAAGTATGATATTTAGCAATGCAATTTTGGAAACATTTTCTTCTCCTTTAATTAGAATTAGATAAGGGAACTTATAACAAAAATCATGTCAAATACCTCATATCAAATAGGGCTCCTTTTTTTTTTTCCAACTGATCATACCAACGACAACACTTACAGCCCCTCCTAGAAAACTGGTAACAGGCCTACAGAACTTTGAACTTTCTATAAAACAAGAGTTATATTGAAATTTACAAATATATATATCAATAACAGCGAAAAATAAATCAAATATCACTGAATTAAAATAAACTTACTACTGGATATCTCTGTCATAGCATACAATCAGCATCAATACCGTAAACTATAGGCTATAATAATCTGGTCACTTACGCAAACCTCCTTATGAGAACGCTTCATATCTTAAATAGCACTCGTATCTATAACTACTCACGTCTTTATGCGCAACATAATTCTTTAAATAATTCTACATGTAAAGTTAATTAGCTGCTAGCAAAAATACTTCTTAGGAAAATATATATAATAGCATATATATATATATTGCGTTTGAAATTTAGTCAGATTTAAGAATAACAGCAGTGTGTTAATCACTATCAATATGCAGAATGATTACGTCTGACTAAAAGTTCTATAAAATATATACCAGCCAAGTGAAAACGAAAACAGTGTCGAAGCCGTTATGGTATACTAGACGTGTACTATGAGGCTTCACATTTCAATATTTAATCGTTTTTTTTTCTCTCTTTTCTTTAGTAAGAAGGGGAAATTACAACCGAGAATATACTGCTACAACGAGGGTACCCAACTAATCAATCAATGTATTTTAATCAATATAAGTAAGAATGGTACATTTAATTAGCTTTATTTCTGGCTTCATTATTAGTTCTGATCTATGGATATAGTTTATTTGTATCAAAAGTTAATCATAATACATATATCGAGAGAGAGAGAAAAAACCAGGAGGAAATTAAACATTTAAAAAGCAAAAATGTTGGCGTTCTTGATTAGAGTTAGTTCATAAGAAATACATAATTAAAGTTAAGGTGAATATCAAATGCTTCATACAATGTTTTCATATAATACATTTCTGAACTTATTATTTTTAAAAAATGTATCCACTAAGCGCTTGGGCATTTCATTCGCTTAATTAATGAAATCATGAGATCGAAAAAATGAACATTTCGTCAGAGAGCAAATTCTTTAAGCTTAATTCTATTCATAAAGCGCTTGTAAGCAGTGTTAACAAAATTAATCTATTGTGCAGTGTAATGACAAGTTTTACAAGCATTATTTTAGCCAAATCTAGTATACAAATATTTTCCAAATATTACCAGGAAATTCATTACCTAAGCAGATAATTAAAAATTATTATAGGTATTGTTACTGTATATAATAAATATTAACTTATTATCAAACCAAGCTACCTATATAGATCAGAATTATAAATGTGTACCTAGTAATTTATATAAGTAAATATAATGTTCAAACTATATTAGTCATATTGGTTAGAATGCGTTGTTTCATCAGTAGGATACCCTCGATTTCATCTTACTGTTTAAGAGTTAGCTTTTATATCTAAATCTCTGGTTATTTAAATTTTCTGAAAGAAAAACGTTTCATGAATACAGCAATGACAGTGGTATTTTAATCAAGAGTAGTTCCAGACAACTGTAAATGCGTGTCAAATTATGTTTATATCCCTTTGCAAACTGATGCTCCAAACTTTGGAGATATGAGTGCGTTAAAAATGTGTAAATCATATCCTACTATTCGATCAGACAAAAGTAGCCCAAGATTAGGGGCAGCTAACTAGATGCCTTCCCTTTAGTTTATCAATTCGAAATCATGGACTGCTAGCACAGTGATCCTAGTGTAGTTTTATACTGAAACTTGAAACTAGAACCAAACCAAAACAATAAATATACCCTTAGAAGAAGTATAGCATAATTATGCAGAAAAAAGAAACAAACTAACAAACATTCGATTTTCTGTATTTCTTCCAGAGCTATTTAAAGCAGAATGTGAGATTTAGTCAAGGATAATGGCCCTATACCTTCAGGTTTTGGTTGTTCTGCTCTTAAAAGGTAAGCATATATTCATGTTAATTAATTGAAAAGCTATAAGGGATACTTAAACACTGATCTACTGTGTAGAATTCTTGAAATAGCTATATAGATCTAACTAAGTAACACTGATAACTGCCTAATAACCTTAAGCATGTGACGAAACTCTTAGAATTGAACGTGTTGATTTCTGAAGCACGTATCTGAATGAAAAGATCTGCACTTTCGTGCAGTACAGTTTTGTTTAATTAAGTGTTGTAACGTTCTAAGGATTAATTTCATCAGGGTCTCATATATTATCACGCAAGTTAAACATTTACTATGTTATGTAATTTGGTTTTGTATATATATATATACTTAATGAAATACACCTTGAAAACAGAATTAACTTTAAGCACCGCACTTTCACGGAAAAACTGTTTGCAGCTTGAAGAGTTTCCAAAAGTTATCTAAATTTTAATATATGACGTCATGTCTTATAGCGTTAAAACTGAGAATTTTGTATTCAAAACACTACTAAATAACGGAATGTTCAAAATAATACTATTCTGGTCCAAAAGTAATTCCATTAGTTTTATTTTTGTTAAAAACAACGAAATTGCATCTAATATATTTCCTAAGGGGAAACAAGTTTTGGAGAAACATTAAATTATCAATAATAATAATAATAAAATAATACAATATCGTGTATAGCAATAGAAGAAACCACAGTAAACGGAAGAAACTGTCAAAGTCTGATATCAGAGAAACTAGTTTCGACACATTCGTGCGTCCTCTTCAGTCTCAAGTCGTGTGGCAGTTTGTTCCGTTTACTGTGTTTTTTTTTTTAACTAATTAAATTCTCGCTACAGTCGGAGATGCACTGCGTATTTAAATGTGAAAGAAAAGTTTAAAATTGTGTTTTGTTTAACACAAATATTTATTTCACAAAATATAATTCAGGATAATGCCAAGAACTTGGATTAAGAACTGACTGGCCACTCTGTTGCAACCTCCCCTCTCACACCCAGATTTGTACAACACTATTTATTTATATATGCAAAACAAACTGATCATAATAATGGCTGGAGACGGCTTAAATGGGTAATGAAGAAAAACTTTAATATAAGTTTAACATGACAGCAAATGTACAACGTTTCGACAAGGTTTTGTCATCATCAGGTACTGATCATAAGAAGTATCATACGACTGTTCGAGCCATATATATATATATGTAGCTATGCTGTCATATCATGGTCATCTTAAGGGCAATGACTTCTTCGACCTTCAAAGAAACGCGATATTAGGTAGCTTTCCAGCAGAAGCTTCTTTATTAAAATGTTTTCTTTGACCGACTATTCAAATACATTTGTCATCAGAGAGTATCAATATTGGTATCAAAACGATTATGTCTGCCATTAGAAAAGAAAATAGATTATTTCAACCATTGATAAGATACCAATTGAAAATACGATTGGGGAGGGTTGTAAAGTGCATTAGACGCCGTACTGTTTTCAAATTGACCGATTTCTTCAACAAAATTTAGTATTCAACTATCTCCAACTGCACCATGGGAAGAACATTATAAAACTATCATATGATTATCTACAACTAGTCCAAAAACTGCATCTCTGGTGCACACATGAGATTACGGTTTCGGAGAAGCTTATAGTGCAGATTGTGAACAGTGACTAGCTATAAGTATGTGCTGTGGTGTGATATGTCATTTTTCACCATTGAATCTACTGATGCTAGGGTAAACGTATAAAGAAAACAACTGGAGAATCCTCCAGGGTTAGTGTAAAGGTATTGTAAACGATCTTGTCGCAGGGTATGAGTCTTTCAGGAGGTAAAATAAAATCAAGATGTCCACCTCATCATAATATATTACCACCTTGAAGGACTAGAGCTCTTTCAGGTTGATAATGCAATAATCCATCAAGCACATTTACCGAAAATTAGTTCGAAGATAAGACTACAATTTCGGTTATCTTTCTTGGCCAATACAATTACAGTTTTTCAATCCTATTGCACATGTTTTGGATTAATTCTTTGTACGTCACATTTGACAATATAATCATCTGACGATAACTGTGAACTCGTTGAAAACCGTATTTCGAGACGAATGAGCTTTAATCTAGTAAGACATTTTTCCAGCATATTATGGGGTCCATGTTATGTTGTGTTCAGGCTCTTATTACTGCAAAATGGAGTTTTAACCCAATATTTCTTTATTTGTTTCAGAAATTCACGCAGAACTACACAAAGGCCAACTGAGTAGAACCATCCTTAATTTTTAAATGAAAGATGGATGTAAAGAAAGCTAGCTCACAGCACCAACTGCAAACTCTTGGGCTACTTTTATACGATTAAGTAGCGGTATTTGACTGCTATTCTTAAAGTGCATCCACGGCTCCAGAGCGCGTTTCTAAAGCTAAGGGTCACGAGCCATGAATCCTCGGATTTACATACAGTACAGCAACAATAACCATAAGAGCAGATTTTGATTTCACCACCATTAATTTGCTTACACAGATGTAATGAAAAGTTTTATATATTTTTTTAATGGAATACATAAACATATCTTTACATTTCCTTGCACCTTAAAACCAAGCTTTTCTTTTCACTTAATTATCTGGAGCATATTTAAGCTATTTTATGTACAAGCTGTTTTCACGATGTGTTCGTTCATTCTAATGTGAGACTTTTATCTTCCGGCTGACCGGACTCAGTATTACAGACGAGGTCACAAAGAGTTCATTCACTGTGAGCCTAATTAATGGTCCTGTAATTTTAATATATAAACAGAAAAACGTCACACATCAGAATTGGTTTGATGTTACTAATGAGTAAACATTTATGCATAGCCTTGTTGTTGTTTCTTTACTTGTATTATGTAATTCAACAGATTTCCTTGTAAAAGATGATTAAATTATCTTCTAGATCTCTACAGAATTTTGAGCATGTTATTTTAAAACGATTTAGATATGCAGATCATCAGGTCGCTTAACAATCAAAAATCGATATAAAATTGCAGTGGAACGATATGTACATTTTAACATTGTTTGGCGTGTCGTAGGTAGTGTGAAGCCATTAAAAATTCATCGCTTTTGCGAAGGGTACGTAACAGTCATTTCTGAACCAAAATATTCATATATTTAGGCCATAAAGGTGTGTTCATATCAGAAATTTGGAGTATCCAAGATGGATAAATTCTTCGTATCTACCAGCATTGGAGAGTAAGAAAATGTAGGTTCAACTCCAGAAAGAGACCAGTAATAAGTCGAAACGCCGTCATAGTAAGTAAAGTGCAGCGTTTTGTAACAGGCGACGATCCACGACAAAAATGTCAGTGGTAAACGTTGTCCACCTGCTTTAAGCAACAATACCCAGCATAATCAAAAATAATCTGTAAAAGCGACAAACTTCTCGTGCACACAGTTTACTTCCCCTACGCTTTCGCTCAACCATCGCATACCTGAATGAAACTGGTATTCATGCTATTCCATAGAAATATATACCAATCAAGTCGTCAGGCTATGGATTTCTTTATGATCGTCCTGTTGTCACTGGTAACCATCGTTTTCGCACATTAGATGGTTAATAGAAAGTATGCAGAGAGTACATCTAATATAGCAGCCTTACGATGGAACCTTTATCAATGGAATCTACGCTGTAGGATTATAGTCAAGATACACGGCAGTCAGAGAGAGCATGACTGAGCGAGGTGACATTATTGTGACGGTGTGATGAAGTTTTAAAATTGTTTTGATATAATATTTTCAACCTCCGTATATTCTCTGAAAAACTGTATTATATATTATCAGTATATTTTGTATTTTAACACGTCCCACAGAAGCCAAAAGTAGATTTAATCCGAAACTACTGAAGAGAGTGGTTTTGGACGTATCTTTTCGAGACAAGTTTTGTTTGTTAATTGATATTTTTTTTCAGTGAAATACAGCATCCTCAAGTCTCAAAACAAGCTAATACTAAGGTTTACTCTCTGGGAGTAAATTCAATATATTTAAGCAAAGCCACATTCTCAGCATCATTAATTAAGCAATTGCCAACCTATTATGCTTCTGCTATCACCTTTTTATGTTTACCTTTCAATTGAGATACGAACGATTTCACCTGCGATTCGGTAGTGAAAGCCGAAACATCACGATAGTCAGCAGTAGGATGAGCTGAGAGGAATACTTTGAAAGCAGCTACAGGAATAATATTTTACTCGGCTTCCTACATAATATCAACCAAGGTGGTTCTAAAAGGTTCTTAAATACCTCTGCGTGTCATTTGCTTGGCCGTTAAGCTCGTGATGGAGTTTAGTCACCTTACCCCTTCAAATCACTTTTCGCAGCCCCAACGCTAAAATAGTGCGGGAAAATGCCTTCATTTTAGCCAGAAAACATGTCCAAAAATTTCTGTTCAAATTAAGAAAAATCGGATTGGGTAGTGTTTTTTTTTCAACAAAAATGTCCCCCACTAACTCGTGAAGGGCCTGTTAAATATCTCAATATATTAATTTAGTTAAACACATAACACATTATTAGATTTTGTTATATTAAGAAAAAATCGTTTTACTTTTCTGTAGAAACATCAGAACAAATTACAACAGTTATCAACCTTTTTATCTCTACATCACCTGTCCAATTGTTTAGTTTTATTTAGATTCGTATTACATTAAGGTGTTAACATAATGACATTATTTTATTTCCTGTTTAATCTAGGAAGTGGGATTATTGTTTAGAACAATGCTTGTCACTTTTGTGCTTGCCTTGGAACTACTTTCACTATCGTCCATTGTATTCATTATAATATCCATTATTGTGCACTACTGCACGACACCAGAATTTTCACTGTAAAAGACTTCTGGAACCTTCTGAAAAACCTTCCTCACATCCTCCACTATAAGTAGAAATTAACTTCCAAGACTACACTTAACCAGATCAAAAGCACACAAGTCCATAGGAGTTGCAACGAGGGACTTGACTGATATACGTGTGGATGTAATTGTTGTGATTCCATTTTTTTTCGACCATCTTTCCCATGAAAACGTTATTCATCGATTTTGAGATATGGTTGGAAGCTTGTGAATATTTGGAAATTATAAATTCATGTTTTTCATAATGATAATAATGTCAAAAGATATGCTTAGCTTCATTTTAGTGCAATATCTTTTTTTTTTTATCAGAAGGGCTTTTTTTTCATAATCATAACCTACACTATGTGATTGTGTCCGTTAGACAAGATTGACTTTGGGTGTGACTTCAGTGTGACTACTGTGGCTAAGCATGCTAATGTGCGAGTTTTTACTCTTCTACAGAGAAATTTGAAGAGATTTTTCTTCTAAATATTCATATTTTGGTTCTACACCCTTTTACAACCTTGCTATACATGTATCCTTTCGTCTGTCAGTTATATGATCTTCTGGTTATAAGTTTACTTTGGCGGAAATTAACCACGAACCATGTATATAAGAGCTAAACATATCGCTCTTAGTGTCACGTCTCTCTTCTGCAAAAAGGCATAACATATATGTCCATATATAGAGGGATGAACCCTTTGTATATGTGAGAAAGATATGATATTTTTATAGTGTGATTAACTGAACCTGAAACGAAACTAAAAATGGAAAATTTCCAAAAATAGCAGTTTATTTCGTAATTTTGGTGAATGAGGTTTACATAAATTAATATATTTAAAATGTTATCCTGCAATTGTTCCTGACATACTTCATTTCTAGTCCATAAGATTGTCATATAGATTCCAAAATAATAACTAGCTAGGTAACTTATAGGAAAAAAGTATTATCACAGAATGTATTAGCTTATACTGCTGATAAGTGCTTACAATTTCAGTATTGTATTGCTACAACTTTCTACACTATACTTAATTACGTGTGGTTTAGTGAACAAACTTTTACCAGTCGATTTTAACATTTATTTTCTTACAATTGTATATATTTTATCATAATAGTAAGATCATAGACTGTTACCTAAAAGAAGATTTTTATCAGTCGATTTTAAACTGGCTTTAATTTTATTGATATTTTATGTACCTTATCAGAGGCTTTTTACAGGGACATTTGATAGTATGTAATAGTGGTGTTTAGGATAAGTACAATTTATGATGGAGAAGGTAGTTCCAAGGTCAGCACAAGGTCAACAACGTTCTTATAAACTGCCACTAACTCCTAGTACAATGTCATTTGTTGACAAAGATTACATACTATTTAATGTGCTAAACTATACCGACATTGCAGTGAAAGAACAGTATTGTAATATTTCCACAAAACAATCTTTTTTACTTTTCTCTCAGCTGGCGGAACAATACGCTTGGGTTGCTCCGTTTCAGTAAATTAGTTTATTTTCTTGTTGAAATAGCATACTTGGTTGTATCTTCCTAGTTATAATCATTTTTTGTAGATAATAAAAGTCTCCTTACACCTCGACCCCCAGCGGTATGTCTGTGGACTTGCAACGCTAGAAGCCGGGTTTCGGTACCCGTGGTGGGCAGGGCAAAGATAGCCAATAGCTTTGTGCTTAACTTAAAAAAAACAAAACCTACAGCTTAAGTATATTATATATTGATGAGGGAGGATGACGCAAACATATTTTTTTAACAAATTATTTTTGAAAACTATCGATTATTCCCTTAATATTACTCAGCATTAAATCCAAATTGATGTCTAGCTCTCATAACGCTATTATTATTATCTTAAACAAAGAAAGTTCCAAACGGAATATGACATAATCATATTGCAGGGGAAAACTTCTACTTTATCCTTTTCATTAACTGGTAGTTTTTATAGTGAACAATCATCATAAAGAAATTCACAACGAAAACATTAATTTCAAATTCCTAGTGGCTATTTATGAAAAGGAGGATATGAACAAATCCATTGTATCAGACTCCGTAGACAAAATGTTCGATAGAATTAATCAAAATGGATTGATTACGTGCTTTAGGGAGCTACACAGAAAAACGCACCTTCATTTCATCAAAATTTTTATGTTTTATGAAACTTTTGAGCATAATATATTGCTTATAATATCCTAACAAGAGATATAAGTAATTAGTTTTAAAAGGAGTTTGTATCAAATTTACAGGAGTAAGTTGATATGTAAGAACAAAAAAGAAAAATATTAGGACTAAATTTATACTCAGACATATCTAAACAACCTATAGCTAACAAAAACATTTACAACTTTCTGGTAACTCAGAATAAATTATTATATTTTCGTCAGTTATTGACCAAATCAAACAAACGTAAAGATTTGAGAACTCCAGAAGAGTACGACTGCCTTTTGAATGAAAAGGGGACGACGTCTTGGCTTTTATATTGAAGCATTCTTCAAGTCACTGTAGGTACTTGTGCAGTGTTTATAAAGGTAAACTAAGAGCAGTCCTTGCAAATAACACAGCATCTCTGATGACAATTACTTTCATGAATTAACGTGTACTTCGTTTTAATGTCCACCAGTGGCTCAACAGTAAGTTTAAGCTTATAAAACTAAAAACAAATAGCTCATTGTGTAGTTTTATACTTAACAATAAAACAAATACAAAATCAGAGTTAGTATAAATAAATATTATATTTAACACTGGATATACATGTAGAGTATCAGTCTTTTTTTTAAGAGCTTGTGATTTATATGAAAAATTCCGTATAAGTTATAGTGATATAATTTCGTCATATTTCATTCATGGCGACAAGTAAATGTGTGATTTGTTAGTACAAATCAAAACCTTGAACAAATTATTCAATTAATAACAGATGTTTCTAATTTGAAAATATTAATCCTCTATAGACCTACAACAGCTTCTGAGTGTACATCTAATTTGAAAATATTAATCCTCTATAGATCTACAACAGCTTCTGGGTGTACATCTAATTTGAAAATATTAATCCTCTATAGATCTACAACAGCTTCTGGGTGTACATCTGAAGGTACTGGATATCCCTTCGCCGACAACATTAGGGCAATCTATCGAATTGACTTGCTCGTACGAGCTTGATGGTGACCAACTGTATTCTGTAAAGTGGTACAAAGATAATACGGAATTCTTCAGATATTTACCATTAGACTGGCCCCCTGGTCAATTTCTTCCTCTACCGGGCGTTCGAGTAGACGTAAGTTTGAATTATTTTGTTTTGACAAGTTTTACCGCAGTAGTCGTTTGAACATATAGTAATGAAGATTTTTCAAATGCGAATAGTCTGAAAATTTTAGTCAGTCGCGTATCATAGACACTTCCATACATAGCAACAAAAAACAACTGCCTAAAATTGTTTACCATAAATCCAATGTTATTCAATTTGGATGAATATATTAGAGCTTTCCTTAAATGCTAATAATATCAAGATCCAGGGTGCACTTGTGTTTTCTGGATATCAAATTTACAATGATAAGAAACACTTGCTACTTTAGAAATAATAGAAATGATAGCTTTCCAGTTTATCAATACTGAATAATTTTTAACATTAATAAGATATTAACATTGTGTTATTTATAACATTTTTATTGAGAAAAGATTTTGTCATGCCAATGATTGATATGAACTATATTTTAATCTTAGTATTTGAAGAATAATTAAATAAAATGATATTTTTATAAGTAATAGAAATTATAGAAACTAAATATATATTCATAACCTGAAACCTACAAAAATAATATGCATAACTATCTGAAAGTTTGATTCGAAATTCTACTTATGTTCTGTTTTTTCTCAAATAACTTAAGCATAGTTTAAAATATCAATTTATAACAGAAATATTAGGGTGTTATCGAAAGCTAGAGATAGAATGAGGCAAACAATTATATGTTATATAAACCTATTTCTTAACAGATTTTATGTGACAACCTAAAGATTTATAATATATAAGGTTTGGTAGCTACATAGTTCATGGTTTTTTAAAAATGAAAGATATTTATATGAACTGCAGGCTCTAAAATAGGTTATTTCCTCAAATTCATAGAAAAACTAGATTCATGGTAATTTTTATTTTTGCAAACTATGTATGTCTTATATATATATGGGGGTATGTTTACTAGAAATCTCCAGAATTCTACCGTAAAAATATAAATTCTTATCAATTCAGCTTTCAAAATCAGGCAAAGATACGGTTTACCTGAACCATGTCACTTTAGAAACCGCTGGAGTGTACAGATGCGAAGTCTCCGCAGAAGCTCCGTCATTTCAAACAGTTGAAGCAAGTAAAGAAATGAAAGTTACCGGTATGTGTGTAGCATTTTGTATGTTTCCTTATATTTTGTGCTCGAATGAAGTTAACTTGGTAGCATTGCTTATCTGTACATTAAACACATAATATGTAGGAATCCCGAATCTGTAGTCAGCAAAATAATATTAAATTAATATATATATATATATACATTACGACTAAAATCGATTTTCAAATTTCTGGTCTACTATAAAACGCATAGTGTTATGAAATATGAAAGTAGTATGGCTTCCACTACATGATGTGTAGTACCATTAATTAGTGTGCTGAAGCCTGAACCTTCCAAACATACTGATTGAAATCATCCAAAAAAAGATGCCTTTTTGTCGTTACATCTTATATTCTAAAAATTCAGTTACGTTAGTGCATGCAGGTAAAATATCTCTTTCTAGAGTTTTCATAATATATTATAAACGTATATTGAGGTAAACGCCATGATCCGTTATAAGATGAAAAATGTTATCTACAAGAAATACCTTGTAAAATACACATTTTTAAGGGTTGACAGGGGAATCTGAACTTCCAAATTCAGAACGTTTTAAAATCAAAATCGCTTACAAAATTTTGTATAGAGATATGTTTCTTTCGTCATTTATAAATATAGGATATGATTTTGCATTGGTAACACATATTTAAATTTATATGTACTTCAGAAAATAAATTGCATTATAGTTTTCATTGAATATAAAACTTTCACGTGGAAAAACACTGAAACTTTTACTTTCACAGTAAACAATATAGTAAGAAAAGAACGTATTCCTTCCTGGTTTAGAAGAATAATGGTACACAGCTAGATCGTCTCAGCATAACCAGAAGAGTGAAGCTTTAGTTGGATAAAATCATAAGTGAAAACAAAAATAGACAGACATATTTGACAATCTATTTACTGATCACTTGGAATAAGGAAACATACCGCACATTGACCTAAAACAATTAACACTTAAAGAACTGAAAAAATGTCCTTTTAAAACTTCACAAAAAGAAGAAGGACAAGAACAACCAGATAAATTGCAGGTTTATTACAAAACTAACCAGACTCAAAAGATGGAATCTGAATGTCCTATCTTTTTACCAGCCTGTGGGAATCCTACAAAAGGTGAAGATTAATTATATCTATTGTGTCCATGAATTGCTTAGGTGGGTTTATGATAGCGCAATAAATCCCTGTAGCTCAACAGACTTTCAGAAATGTGGAATGTAAAAAAAAAAAAAACATGTTTCCATGGCATACATGAAAACTTAGGTGAAAACAAAAATTAAACTTATGTATATATCTACCTATATATAGTTTGATATTATTCATAAGACGGTAAAATTGTGGGGTGAACGTATCACGAAGAGATTACCGCCAACATGTTTGTGAAACGTGAAACCAGACAAAAATATTCGAAACGTGCATTTCGTCCATCTGCTGAAAAAAGTTAGCATTCAATAACAATCCTTTTAATTTTTTAACTGACTATTTTACCACTCAATATACTATTTATACCATAAATAACAACAACATTAGATTCTGCTGATAATACTATTAGCCAAATTTTTGTCACCATTTGCTGATATTGTTAATTATAGTGTATCATAAATCTGATTAAAATGAGTCCGGTATATGACACGAAAGAATGGTTTTGTTTCAAAGTTCCAGATAAATACACAAGCATGTTCTTTTTTTTTCCGAAGAGTAACACATTGTGGGTGTGAAAGTTTTGTTTGTTGTCTCATTAGATAAGACTTCGATGACAATCCGTATCCAGTGAAGTAGAAGGAACTGCAAACCAATACGATTACTCAATTTTCACTCTGGTATTTTCTTGACATGAAATAATCGCCCGATTTCAAGTTATTAAAATGATACAGCCTTTCAGGTTTTCTATGTTAATATTCTAAGCTTTTGTACGATAGTTAAGTCTACTTAGAATTTATTATCATTAAGCTTACTGAATATAAAAGTGTACACTATTTGAACGAATTCTGTATGTCAGAGAGGCACTGAATTTAAAGCAATATACGCAATTTCATTTTGTAGTAATTACTGCTCTCGAAGACATAAGATAGATAATATTTTTGAAGTTTAGAATTACAGGAGTACACTTTATAAACACTTGCATTTTTCCAACTCTTTCACACTTGGCAGCGTTTGAAGTATGAGTAAAAAATAGTAATTCTTCAAAGCACCGATGAAAAACAACGTAAAGTGGAATCTTCTGATTGTTTGATTATTTATGAAACTTCCATCTTTCTGACGGTGTGGCGAAAGCTCCAATGTTGTTGTTTTCTTATATTGATTTCTTACGTCGATTTTGCACTCACAAGTAAACGTTAAGGACAGCCTTTCAGGATATTATCCATATGGATTATTTAATATGAGATTGTTCTGTTATCAGTTTTAGTTTGCTAAAACTTAGGCTAAAAGTAAATGAATAAAATTCTGACAAACAACACATGTTGATTTATTTTTATGTCGATAGTTTTGAGGAAATAATGTCCTCAAAGGTGAGATTGTTTTTTGTTTTATTATTTCCCTTAGAAGGATTCTATTTCTTAGAAACTTAACGAACTTTCTACCTATAGTATACTGCTAGTTTTTGTTAATGAAATTTGTTTAGCTAAGCACTCTTTGGAATATGTGCTTCCAAAAACGAAAGCAAATAGCAAATTCTAAAGAGATTGACCTAGGAACCATTGTTCTGAATCACTTCAACCAACTGTTTTTTTTTCATGACAAAATAAGAGAAATATGGTAGGAATCATAATCTCTCATAGTAGACATTGCATTTTTATGAGATGTAGTTAATGCAGCCAAAATTGCAACTGAAAGGTAACAACTTAAACTATTATTGCTGAAGTCTTTTTCATTTTACTTTTAATTATTGTCAATAAATTGTAACTATCGTATTTCCTGGAAGTTATTAGTAACCTTTTATTGATTTGAGTTGAGTAAATTGTGGCGACAGATATTCAGGTTTATTGGTCAATATTTTTCCGCTGCTAAATGACATCATACGTCTTTCCGCTATGGGTGGAGTGCAACGGAATATCCAAGTGGCATTTTCTTGCAAATCATTAGCTTTGAAAAAATGCTATTACCAATACAACTGAGAAGTCCGAGGTAATAGTTTTCCTCATTTCACATATTCTCTATGGTTTTTATCTTTCTCTGGCCCTAATAAAGCACATTATGCATGGACAACACTACCGGACAACTAATGTCCTTAAAGCAGATGTATGTAAATATATTAGTATGGCCACTACTGTATTTGATTAAACTGGTGTGGTGAAGTGCAGGGTACTTTAGAGAAAATGCATTGCACTTAATGGGGATTATGTTGAGAAATATTGCATTATATCTGCATTGTCAACATCGTTGATATATTTTTAATTATCGTAATCTGATATTGTTGGCCTGGTTTTCCTTGTGATCACTCCTGGTAGCTTTCATCTACAATTTTTGTACGTTAAAATATTTCAATATTTAACAATTAAATATAAGAACACATAACACAAATCAGGAAAAAAAAAAGATTAAATCTTTTATTAATGGCTATGATATTTATTTTTTCATTGTTGACTAGGAGTAACATATTTTTGTCATTTTTGTGTTATAAAATTTGTACTTTACACCGAGACTTTTTAACTTAAGTAGTGTGAAGAGTAAATAATATTTATATATATTTATAATATGTATTTAAATATTTGCAAGAACTGTTGTTCGATTATCTCTGCTTTACTTCTTTGAAGGAATAAATCTTACCAATAAATGTGTCTAAGTATACTTTCGTCAAACCAAACTTTCCAATAATTTATATTTTTATGTAGTCTTTCCAACAGAAGGACCAATTATAAATGGTGCAAGACCGGAATACATCGTCGGAGATACTGTAAACATCAATTGCACTTCAGCTAAATCCAAGCCTGCGGCAAAGATACGCTGGTACATCAATGATGAAATAGTAGGTTCAACAAGAAAGTCACAACATTTCTTTTTAAAATATATATATTATATTTTAACTTTAAGGTGACATATGACAGAGAAACTTGCTTTTCTAATTTCTGACTCTCGATGCTTAACAAAAAAAAAAAGATATTATTTCTTTTTAAATAAACTACACTAAGAAAATTATTGCCATTTGATATTTGTGACAACTCTAAATCAATCACTTGTTGAATAAAAGTATTGTCGTACCTGGACTGAATTGTCTGAATATGAATAATATTCAAAACTTATAATACTGTGGATAAAATAATATTAAAAGTATGGCATTGCGACATTACTTTTATTTCATTTATAACAACTTCCACGACATACAGATCTTTAAAAACTTTTATAGCTACTCTAGACAATTGTATTGCCTTTCACGCACATCTCTGTATTGCTTACTAAGACTCAAGATTAAATTATAATTAATTCAAAATACAAAATACAGTTTAATAGGATAGTGAATTTGCGCATTAAATGACTGAAGTTTCAATGAACATAAAGATAAATTATTTAGTGTAGTATTTTCATTATACCAATAGCAATATATATATTTATGTAATAAAAATAAGTTTTAGATAATTAACTATGCATTTTTTTGATTAATTAATTGAAATTAGCCGCATATAAATGATAATGACAATCTTTATAAATTAGAATACGTGGAAGGCTTTCGCCACTGACCTTTGTGTTTGTAAATTATTGCCTTTTGCATGACGCCGCTCTTTGCTTAGCACCGTTGTGGTACGACTTCTTAAAGTATTTTTCTGGATGGACCTGGTACCCGAAGTTGATCCATATTCATTTCTTTTCCATTGCCGTTGGGTACAAGAGATACCCTTGTCTTGCAGATTCTAAATTTCAGATCTGAACACATCTTTATGAATTGAAATTATGAATATTTTGCGTCAGAAAGGGTTGCTGTATACTCCTCCCAAAAGCGAACTATTTTCGGTGGCATCACGCTTTCTATCGGTAACACCAAACAATGCGAAAATGTAGTTGTGATACATCCCGTTTCCACCACATCTTTATATCAACTGTAATTATTATGTGAATTGCTGATTTTCGTATTTAAAATCGTTTTGATATAACATATCCAACTCTCTGTACAGTCTCATAAAACTGCCATACCTTTGATTGTCATTACGAGTTTCATTACTTGTTACGTAGAATCATTTAATTATATTTTAATTTACCACCTTTTTATTTTTTCCTTAACTGCTTCAACTTTAAAAGAATTCAATGTATTCTGTTTTACCTCTTTAGACTTTCTTCTAGTTATTCAGTTATTAAAATAATCCTTTTTTTATTATATTCCTGCGAGGCTTTGATGGCGGTAGTCGTTCTTATCATATTCTTCAGGGCTATATGTAATCAATAATAGTTTCAGGTTGGCAAGCAAAATGAATATTTACATTTTTGCTTTCATTTTTCTCTAGCTAATCATATTATTAGTAATTAATTATTGTTTTCTGAAGGTCGTATATCATATAAACATAGGTTATTATATATATATATATATATCCTTTGTCTTTCCACCCACAGATAAAAGTTTAACTTGACGTACGGTTATACCTTATAGATATTTATTTTTCTCAGCCAAATGTTTTTTGTCAAACAATAATAGAAACGAAAACAAGAGCTTTATCACATGTGAAACTGATCTTATCATTAAAGCCTGTTTGCTGTCTTGTAAGACAACACAGTTTCTATAAGAATGTAATCTAAAAGGCTAGTATAAATAATTTATATTTTGTCCGTTGCACGTTGTCTTTGCTTCGGGCACGTTTTGCTTTTCACTAATGAGATTTGAAGTACGGTTGTGTATCTCTTAGCCCTGAGCAAGAATGTCGAACATTTTTGTTTTTGTTTTCAACTAAGTAAAGAAGAGAAACATAATGTAATTTGTCACTTCCAACAAAAACATTACATCAATTAGATTCTGAGCTTTATAAGTCATCTGTTATAGTGTTGAACAATTTCATCTTTACAAACCGATAGATATGGATATTTGATTTGTATCTTAGTTTTTACCTCCTTATAAATCCTTTTAACGTTGCAAAATAATCTGTAACCTTAAAAAAATCTAATGAAACAGATAAGTCTTAGTGGCATACATATATCTGAAAATAATTAAACAAATACTCGTCTTAACCAAACAAGATTAATATAATTCTTGGCCAAAAACAAAATGTAAAAACCTTCGAATTTTTTATTATATTTAAGATTCTAAAAGCAACAATTAGATATAAAATTTCAGCTCCCAAACTAGTTTTTTCGTGTCTAATATGAAAAATAAGATTAAAAAGACTCAGGACATTTGACATTTATTAAAACTGATGAATGACATAGGGTATATACTAACACTGTTAAAGTAATATGAAACCACATTTGGGTTAGGTTGTGGCTTATCCAAAAGATAACTGTAATATGATTCATGAACGGAATAAACAGAGTTGAACGTCCACGAACTAATGACGGTATTGATGATTAACAAGATAGCCATTTCCCACGTTCGATAAAATTTACTTGTAGATAGATATACAGAACAAAAGGCCTCATATGCGGTAACTGTTATTTAAATAAATCTGTAACACAAAAGTTAAGATCAATGTGACACCTGTTACTAAATGTGTTTTTTTACCACTTTTATCAGATGGGTTTCCCTATATTACTGTAATCATTACTTTAAGTATAATTGTTTATATGGCAAATAATAATAATAACTTCTGATCAAAGTAAGTCATGTACTTAGACCGAAACTAAAAATCACCCTAGCCATCAGCAAAGATAATTAAATACACTTTTCTTAGGTTTTTACTTATAAAGATTAGAATTCATTGTTTCATCATTTTGGTACTTTCGCTGTTTACAATATTTTCGGTCGTAATCCAATAATATCTATCGAGTTTCGGCCATGTCATTAGATTTAATTTTGATAAAAGAGTTAGCACAAAGGATCACATATAAAGTGTAATAGACTTAAAATAAGATCCAAACTCGAGCGCTTTCGAATAGTTGAGTATTCTTCTTCAGGAGAACAAAGAGACAACAAAATCATTAGATTTAAGTTAGTTCTAGATACAAATTCTAAGTTAATGACGCAAAACAATCTTTATTATAAAAGTACAATAATAAACAACAAATGAAACTAAAAAGTCGAAATAATTATATCTGATGTACTAACTAGAAGAACCAATATTATTAATGAAACAATAATATTTAAACAAAACAGTATATCTCACTTAGGGAACGTTTGTTTAAATCCCCTTTATTGATTTATGAATTTTTTCGATTAATTTCTATGCATACATTTTGGTAATAAAATATAAAATTACTTAAACTTGAATAATTTGTATTTTCCTCTGCGATAATTTAAGTATATCATATAAAAGCTAGGCTTAGGTAATTTAATTGCATTGTTTCTTATGAAAGCAGTGTGAAAATAACTCCACTTTATAAAGAATCAAGTTGGTGTGACTTACAGATTAAACTGTAAATAGGCACTTTACACTTGAGATAACTTTAAAACTAATACTACAAAACACATTATATAAGTTTTCTCCATTTCTGGACTGTTGAGTGGTCTATCACTTAAGTATATTACTCGATGACGATACAATATTAAAGGGTTTCGCTGCAAATCCGTGGTTCTGTACAAGCCATTTTAATAAATATTAATATCTGTCAGTCACACGTTTTGATGTCATTTTTATACATACCTTATATATTTAGACTTGAATCAAAAGCGATAATATAGATTCACCTGGCATCACTCGGTTTTTGGATGTCTATTCAGCAAATATTGAGTTTATCTTATACTTTGTAGCCTGAAGACACTTGAGTGAATTGTGTATTAAGAAGAAAATTAACATTACATGAGTATGTGTCGATATATAGAAAGTAGAAAATAAACATATAATAAGTGTATTCCAGAATACAACGGATGACTGAAGTGGGTGTTTCTAAATAAGATTGGTTACAGTGTCAAAGATCTGGAAAATGTAAACAATAAGATTATTTCAAACACTAAGTGCAATATCATTTGTCTATAAGGTAAACACAGTCTATTTGATTTTTGAATTGGATAAAATGAGATAATGGCTTGGATAGCTCAGTTAATTAGTAGGCAATATCTGATGGATAATTCTCTTATATCAAAATTTTGGACTCGTTCAAAACTCGCCAGAAATATATTTCTAGTACAATGGAAAAGATCTTGCTCCTCCATGTAGCTTATTCTTCTCTGGTGTTTCTGACAATGAGTTACATTCCACAAAACTGGTTTACATCAGTAAAATATCAATAATCCGAGAACAGACCAGACCTCTGGTTTAATTTTCTCTAACAATGACAACATTGGTGATAAAAATACAAGGTTAGACCCACTTATATATCCAGTATAAGCAGAATTGTTGAAACTTCAGGATCTCTACAATGTAGAGTAAGTAGGTAATCAAAACAGAATTAATTTCATGATCCCCGAAGCGTTTTTATTGTATTACTTTTATTACTTGTTGCATTCTGTTTATTTTATACAATGTTACATTAGAAGCATACCAACGCATTTTACTGAATTTTGAAGAAAAAACAACAAAAAATAATGCAAAATTATTTATGTTCATTTTGGTTTGTGTCTTTCATGTTCTCATAAAACATTATCGTTCCATATTCGAAATAAATATTTCTAGCTTTGTTTCAACAACTAGAATGTCATTTTATTATTGAAACTTGCCACATCACACATTACATACTTTGGAACTTTTTCATAATGCATAACTCACATAACGATGAACAATATTTTAACTAATGAAAATATTCATTAAATTAGAAAAAAGTAGGCATCTTTCTAAAATGCAAAAGAATAGAAAGAAAGACAACAAATTAAAATAAGAATTGTTAAAATACACTACTAAAAAATTAAACATAATCGAAATTTCTGATATAATAATTACGACAAAGCAAAATAAAGTTTATAAAATAATGTCAATCACGCCCATCAGCTAAGTTTTATGCCGATCATCCTTCTGATTATCTGTG